GTTATATACGTGGACAATGCCAACTCAAGACCAAAAGCAATGGCGTTAACGTAATTTAATCCTTTCATTCATAATTACATTACATCTCGTAGTGTTATATACACTCCGACGTTGCGGTCTCATCACTCATCAGCTTCACAAATTGGGATTTAGTTGAGGGTTGAGTCGTTGAGAAAGCTTCTTGATTCTTCAAATTTTTAGTGTTGTGTTTCGGTAATTGTGTACTCTTCTATTTTCTTCTAAAGTTTTGAGATACAAAAGAATAAAAAGGAATATAAAAAGTTATATAGATATATCATATGTAATGTAACATGGATTACAAATGACATTTTGATCATAAGTAACAACAAAATTTGTTAAATTAGCATAACCAGTTTCTAGCAAATTAAGGCATCAATGAACTTCCACACTTGATGGCTTGATGCCATGGTTAAATCATTACCGTGACTGCTTATTCTTCTTCTTCTTTATTTGCTTTTTGAGGTAATCTATTATCTGATCCTTTGCTTCGAGTTCCTGCTTCAGTTCTTCAATTTCCTTTATTAGATCACCTTCACGTAGCTTCCCTCGTTTCTTCTCTGTCTTTTCTTCGCTGACATTAGCTTCTCTGGTCTCCTCAGAATCATCTTCTCTCTTCTGTTTCTTACAACTCATCTTCTTCTCCTCGGGGAGACTTCTCTTTGTTGTAGAGATTTCCTCAACAGAATCATCTTCAATCATTTTACGCACGTGAAAGTATAATCTTGGTCCTGAATCTGAACATGGCTTTAGAAAAACCTGCTTTTGTGACAAACCCCCTGAATCCTGTAACAAAAATGCGTGGAAAGTTTATAATACATATCAAATATCACTCATCTATTTTTCATATCCTGAAAATGCCGAGAGAGATGATGCTAAAGTACCTTTCCCATGTCTCCAGCAATGTTTTCAAAAGCTTGATTTGCTTCTGCTGGACTACTAAAAACAACAATCGCATTGTAGTAGCAGCTTCCTTGTCTTTTCAATGGCTTCCCAAACAAAAAACAACAAATCCTCTTGAGAAATAATAAGAGAATATGAGATTAGCAATTAAAAATGTACATGTTGGGGAAATTCATACCTTAATTTTGGGTGTGAAATCCGTGGAAATAGCTTCAATCAACTCTTCAGATGGAACATTATGAGGGATTTTATGAAGGTAGAGTTTTGACTTCTCAACTTCCAACATCTATATAGATTTGCAGACATGAGTATTTGTTTTCATAATTTTAGATGGAACAATTAAAGTTTGTCAAAATCCACCTTACCTCTTTAGTTACTGGAATGGAGGTTTCTACTTCTTTCTCTATTATAGCAAGTACAAGTTTCATAGCGGCTGCTGCGTCATGAACACAATTGTGGGGAACACCGTCTTTCTGCACCGCATATCCCAATATAGACTAGGAAACAAACAGGAAAACAATGTTATTATCAGTCATTTACATATCCCGGATTTCATTATTCGTCAAGAGCAGAGAAATTAATCTTTCACCCAGGCTCACCTTGCACAGATAATTCAAAGAAGGTCTAACAAGTTTTCGAGGCTTTCTTGTACCGGGATACAAAAACTTAAACACCAATGAAGTATCTATTATTCTTGCATGATCTACCTTCAATACTGAGAGCAATCAAAGTACACCGTAAGAAAGCAGGGTTAAGAGATATTAGGAGCAATTGGACCAACTTTAGTTACCTTTCAGATCATTGTTCAAACTTTGACCTACCAAAATAGTATCCTCAGAAAGAAACATCTGCAATTTTTCCTGCAAAATTATTCATTTAGATGGCATCAGAACAATGTGTTGAAACCGCAAAAAAATATATAATCTATATATATGTAGTGTACCTGTATATCTACCAAAGATAGAGTATTAGCATTTTCAAGATCCTCAGCAGTAAGTCCAGTAATATCAGTCCTATAATTAACAACTGGTTGATCCGGTTTCACAAATTCGTCAAGAAGCACCTGATTCATGAATGATCAGGTTAAAAACAAGACGGTTCTCTCGAACAGAGTGGTGTTCACTGAATATAAAATTAAGAAACCTTTAAATCACGGTCAACTGCAGCAACCCTAACAACAGCTTCACTCCCATCTTCACATTCAACCATCTCACAATCAATCGCAACCATTTCGATTTTGCTCGATTTCTTGGCTTTCGATTTATTCTTTCCAATCCTCGTTACGAGCCAATCCTTTTTTTTTTGCAATTCAAAAGCTTAAAGTTTACACTCAACTTCTCCATTCTTCATAGAGATCAATTGGATGAAAAACACAAACCTCAGCATCAGATGGGAACAAATACTCTAACGGGTACTTCTCATGTGCAACAGTCATTCGAACTAGCCTCTGCACTGCCAATAACATTTATGTTTAAACTAATTGCATTACACAAACCAAAACACTTATGTTTCAATCCACAAAAAATGTTCTTTTTCTTTTTACCTGCTCTGCAGTTTCATCTGGAGATTCCTCAGCCAGATAAGGATTGGGTCTCAGAACCCTAGCCAATAGCTGAGAGTGAAAAAAAAAACCCATAACCCAAATTACTAAACAACTAAGATTAATATAATCAAAAATCACACTTGTGAGTGTTTTGTCTTTTAACACAACCTGCAAATCTTCTTTCTTGTTTAGTGTTGTAAGGAAAGCGACCAAGACATCTTTGGACCGTCTCGAAGGATCACTCAAGCTCGATCCTGCTTGTTTGTCGTAAACATTTAGAAATTCTTTCCATCCTCCGTTTTCGCCTTCCAAGCGTCGCTGCTGAACTAGTTTCACCAGATTTACCAGCACCTAATTAAAACCCATCAAATTAGAACGAAATTGACACTCGAATCCGGAAATTCGACCAATGTAGCAAGGAAAGAGACCTACTTTTTTCTCAGATGTGGCTAGAATCTGCTCCATAACAGAAGAAAGAAAGAAGCTTCTAATGAGTTTT